AACCGGTCGTAAGTCGAGGACTACCCAACCGGTCGTAAGTCGAGGACTTTCCCTGCCCGGGAGCGCCGCGCATGCGTGGTTCCGCCCCCTGCGCCGGCCGAGGCGTAGCTGGCAAGCGGCAGAGACGGAGCAGGCCGACCACCAGCTGGCCCAGCCCAAGGGAGGTAAGGCACCCGCCGGAAAAGGGGAAAAAATGGCGAACAAAAAAAAATGGCGGACAAAAAAAATGGCGGACAGCCTTGCTTGGCGACCCCCGTGAAATGGTCGATCGACCCCAAATGGGGTCCCAACCCACAGGTTGAGAACCACTGGCATAGGGCTTCCTGCCTGAGCAGGGGGTTGGACTAGATGACCTCCAGGGTCGCTTCCAAATTTGTTATTCTGTTATTCTATTAAATGTCTATGGAGATTCTCAATCATCCCTCCCTCCCTCCCTCTCTTCCTTCCTTCCCTCCCCTCCCTTTTTTTTTTAACAAAAAAGGAGCACTCAGAATAATTCTTTTTCTTTGCCTTCTTTTCTTCTTCTTTCCTCCCTCCCTCCCTCCCTCCCTTCCTTCCTGGAAGTTTTAAATCATCTCTCATTACAGAAAATCCCAGCAGAGTTTACAAAACAATAAAACTTTCAAAAACCACAGCTAGGTCAACTTAGAATTAAAAACAGTGGGAAACCAAGCTTCAACCCAAATTAAAACAAGCCACTGGATGAGAAATTCTGGGGAGGGGGCAAGGCCCACGGACAGAGAGAAGGCTGGTGTTCCCAAATGTGGATTTTAAAAGACCCTGGAAGCTTCCCAGCAGAAAGCAGATTAAAGGCCTCCAAGATCTAAGTAATAATAATAATGATGATAAAGTTGGAAGGGACCTTGGAGGTCATCTAGTCCAACCCCCTGCTCAGGCAGGAAACCCTATGCCATTTCACACAAATGGCTGTCCAGTTTTTTCTTAAAAACTTCCAGTGTTGGCGTGTTCACCACTTCTGGAGGCAGGATTAAGGTAACTTAATCCACAAGTACCACTGCTTTGATTCTGTTCACTGCAGATGCTAACTAGCGGAAAACTTTACAGTATAATATGTAGACAGGCTGACATCCCGATTGGGATGTCTTCAACTTATAATCATTTGTTTAGTGACTGTTCGAAGTTACAACGGCCCTGAAAAAAAGTGACTTATGACTGTCTTTCACACTTACAACCGTTGCAGCATTCCCACGTGATCGAAATTCGGACATTTGGCAACTGACATGTACTTATGACGGTTGCAGTATCCCGGGATCACGGGACCCCCCCTTTTTTATTTTATTTTTAAAGAAAATTTTATTGATTTTTCTAGTTTTACATTTAAATTTTTAAAAAGCAATTACTTAGCTGTAATAATACAAACTATTAGCTGAAATATGAGAGAGTCGTTATCAAGAGAAAAAGAGAGGAAGTATTAAATGTTGAAATTTTGGTTACTAAATTTAAGATATTTGGAAATTAACAGAAAATAAGAATGTTATATTGTATTATTAATCAGTTGATGTAAGACGGTGAGAATTCAAATAGATAAGACGTGTATCCTGAACATTAAATCTTGAGATGAATTGTGATAAAGGGAATTGGGGTTAATTTTAATGTTAAAATTATGTTAATGTTAAATGTTAATGTTAATATTAAATTTAAATATTAATGGGAAACTAAAAATTGGGAAAAACTAATTAGGACATTGATTGTCTATAAAGATGGAATGTTAACATAACTAGGATATGCATAAACTAAAAATTATCGATAAATGTAAGAAAGTTATTTTTATTTAATCGATATAATAAGAATTGTATTAGTTTAAATATGAGACAGTAAATACTAAGGGGAAAAGAGAGGTTTCCTGCCTGGGCAGGGGGTTGGACTCGATGACCTCCAAGGTCCCTTCCAACTTTATTATTATTATTATTATTATTATTATTATAGATCTGTACTAAAGATTTTGATTTGATTTGATTTTATTAGATTTCTACCCCGCCCTTCTCCTTGCGGACTCAGGGCGGCTTACAGCCCGTTAAAAACAAGTAAACAAATACAAAAAACATACCACATTTTAAAATCAATTAAAATAAAATATTGCAATAGGCCAATTAGTATCCTTTAAAACCAATAGAAAACTAATTAAAAGTAATACTTANATCCCATGACCCCGGGCGCATGAAAGCGTCATAAACACGAGTCAGTGGCCAAGCGTCTGAATTTTGATCACGTGACCGTGGGGAGGCTGCAACGGTCATAAGTGTGAAAAACGGTCGTAAGTCACCACCAGATGGATCTGCAGCTGGCTGGCAAACCGTACTCAACGAGTAGTCCTCAACGGCACTACATCCACATGGAAAGAAGTAAGCAATGGGGTACCACAAGGCTCCGTCTTAGGCCCAGTACTCTTCAATATCTTCATCAATGACTTAGATGAGGGAATTGAAGGAGAACTCATCAAATTTACAGATGACACCAAGCTGGCAGGAGTATCCAACACCCCAGAAGACAAGCTCAGGATCCAAAAAGATCTTGACAAACTTGAACAATGGACCCTGTCCAACAAAATGAGTTTCAATGTGGAGAAAAGCAGAGTTTTACATTTAGGCAGAAAAAACAAAAGGTGCAAGAACAGACTGGACAAGACCTGGCTCAAAAACAGCCACTGTGAGAGGGACCTTGGAGTCCTAGTGGACGATCACTTGACCATGAGCCAGCAGTGTACAGCAGCTGCCAAAAAAGCTAATCCTGGGTTGTATAAACAGAGGCATAGAATCAAGATCACGCGAAGCATTAGTACCGCTTTATAAAACCCTAGTAAGACCATACCTGGAATACTGCAGCCAATTTTGGTCACCCTATCGCAGAAAAGATGTTGAGAGTTTGGAAAAAATTCAGAGAAGAGCAACTAAGATGATCAAAGGCCTGGAGACTGAAACATACAAAGAACAGCTGCAGGGCTTGGGTTTGGCTAGTCTAAAGTAAAGAAGAAACAGGGGCGACATGATAGCAGTATTTCAGTATCTGAGGGGCTGCCCCAAAGAAGAGGGGGCCAGGTTGTTGATCAAAGCACCAGAGGGCAGGACGAGAAACAACGGTTGGAAACTGATCAAGGAGAGGAGCAACCTGGAATTAAGGAGAAACTTCCTAACAGTGAGGACAATTGACCAGTGGAACAGCTTGCCTCCAGAAATCATGGGCGCTCCATCACTGTAGATTTTTAAGAAGAGGCTAAACAGTCACTTGTCTGAGATGGTATAGGTTCTCCTGGTTGAGCAGGGAACTGGACTAGAAGACCTCCAAGGTCCCTTCCAGCTCTATTCTATTCTAAGAACCTGTTTGAGGTTGTGGAAATGTTTGAAAAATCTTCCTCCTATCTTCCCTCCCTCCTTTCCTCTTCTGCCTCCATTCTTCCTTCCTTCCTTCCTTCCTTCCTTCCTTCCTTCCTTCCTTCCTTCCTTCTCCTTCCCATTTCCTTCCTTCCTTTTCACTCCCATCTTTTTCCTTCCTTCCTTTTCATTCCCATCTCCTTTCTTCCTTCTACTTCCCATCTCCTCCCTCCCTCCCTCCCTCCCTCCCATAATAATAATAATAATAATAATAATAATAATAATAATAATAATAATAATAAAAAAGTTGGAAGGCACCTTGCAGGTCATTGAACAACCCCCTGCTCAGGCAGGAAACCCTACACCAGTGATGGCGAACCTTTTAGAGACCAAGTGCCCAAACTGCAACCGAAAACCCACTTATGTATCATCGGGTGCCGGGTGGGTGTGGCCCATTGGGTGGGTGTGGCCCATTGGGTGGGCGTGGCTGCGGTGGTAATGGCAGACTGGGTGGGACTAAAAAGTTCAATCAATCAATTCCAACTTTGCGAGATCTTTTTTTCCTGCGAGAAGTTGAAATTGATTGATTGAACCTTTTTTTTTTTTGCACACGGCGGAGGAGGCTTAAAGCGAAAAGGTTTTATAAAACCCAGCTGAAGGCCTAGGACTGGGGCGATGGCGCGCGTGCCCACAGAGAGGCCTCTGCGTGCCACCTGTGGCACGCGTGCCATAGGTTCGCCACCACGGCCCTATACCATTTCGGACAAATGGCTGTTCGGTCTCTTCTTAAAAACTTCCAGTGTTGGAGCATTCACCGCTTCTGGAGGCAGGTTGTTCCACTGGTTAATTGTTCTCACTGTCAGGAAATTTCTTCTTAGTTCTAGGTTCCTTCCTTCCTTCCTTCCTTCCTTCCTTCCTTCCTTCCTTCCTTCCTATCTCCTCCCTCACTCCCTTCCTTCCTTCCTTCCTTCCTTCCTTCTCATTCCTATCACCTCCCTCCCTCCCTTCCTGCCTCCCTCCCTCCCATCCTTTTTTTTCCAGGCAACACCTTCATTGTACAATACCCTCTGCACAAACCAACCTCTGATCCTGACCCGCCTTTGCTCATGAGAATTAAGAAGAGCGGCCACCGACAACATCTGGGATCTAGCAGCGAATACCATCCCTAGAAAAAATAGCTTCAGTGAAGCGTCCCAACCAGGTAAATAAAAGGGAGGGACTCTCCTACCTTGCTGGCTCCAGGGAGTAGGTGCAATTTCACGTATGGATCAGCCAGTCCATTATGGTCCATCGGCTTCAGGCCCTGAAGAGAAAGAGAGAGAAACAGATTATAACAGGGAGATTCCAGCTGCTATCAATCTATGCGGGGAGAGGGGGGAGCAACCCCCCCCCCATCCTCTTTGTTATTCAGAGCCTGTGGTGTCTCCACTGGATTTATTCCAGGCAAAACCAATTTATCCACTCCTGTTTACACAATGCATCTTGGTGTCTGTCTGCTGATTATGCCACTTGCCGTCCGAACCGGCTCTGATTGTGCCAGGGGGAGTAGATTTAAAGGCACGACTTCCCCCCCCCAGGCCCTGGGGTTGAAAAAGGCCACAACAAGCCAGGGGCACAAAATCCTGATTCAACAACAGGAACGGTTGCTGGAATTGGGTCTGTCTAGTTTAATGAAGAGAAGGACGAGGGGGGAGATGATATCAGTCTTCCAGTATCTCAGGGGCTGCCCCAAAGAAGAGGGAGTCAAGCTATTCTCCAAAGCCCCTGAAGCAACGGATGGAAACTAACCAAGGAGAGAAGCAACCTGGAACTAAGGAGAAACTTCCTGACAGTTAGAACAATTAACCAGTGGAACTACCTGCCTCCAGAAGCGGTGAAGGCTCCAACACTGGAAGTTTTTAAGAAGAGACTGGACAGCCATTTGTCCGAAATGGTATAGGGCTTCCTGCCTGAGCAGGGGGTTGGACTAGATGACCTCCAGGGTCGCTTCCAAATCTGTTATTCTGTTATTCTATTAAATGTCTATGGAGATTCTCAATAATCCCTCCCTCCTTCCCTCCCTCCCTTCCTTCCTTCCTTCCTTCCCCCCTTTTTTTTTTTTAACAAAAAGGAGCACTCAGAATAATTCTTTTTCTTTGCCTTCTTTTCTTCTTCTTTCCTCCCTCCCTCCCTTCCTTCCTGGAAGTTTTAAATCATCTCTCATTACAGAAAATTCCAACAGAGTTTGCAAAACAATAAAACTTTCAAAAACCACAGCTAGCTCAACTTAGAATTAAAAACAGTGGGAAACCAAGCTTCAACCCAAATTAAAACAAGCCACTGGATGAGAAATTCTGGGGAGGGGGCAAGGCCCACGGACAGAGAGAAGGCTGGTGTTCCCAAATGTGGATTTTAAAAGACCCTGGAAACTTCCCAGCAGAAAGCAGATTAAAGGCCTCCAAGATCTAAGTAAGGTAACTTAATCCACAAGTGCCACTGCTTTGATTCTGTTCACTGCAGATGCTAACTAGTGGAGGACTTTACAGTATAATATGCAGACAGGCTGACATCCCGATTGGGATGTCCTCAACTTATAACCATTTGTTTAGTGACTGTTCGAAGTTACAACAGCCCTGAAAAAAAGTGACTTATGACTGTCTTTCACACTTACAACCGTTGCAGCATTCCCACGTGATCGAAATTCGGACACTTGGCAACTGACATGTACTTATGACGGTTGCAGTGTCCCGGGATCACGGGATCCCCCCTTTTTTATTTTATTTTTAAAGAAAATTTTATTGATTTTCTAGTTTTACATTTAAATTTTTAAAAAGCAATTACTTAGCTGTAATAATACAAACTATTAGCTGAAATATGAGAGAGTCGTTATCAAGAGAAAAAGAGAGGAAATATTAAATGTTGAAATTTTGGTTACTAAATTTAAGATATTTGGAAATTAACAGAAAATAAGAATGTTACATTGTATTATTAATCAGTTGATGTAAGATGGTGAGAATTCAAATAGATAAGACGTGTATCCTGAACATTAAATCTTGAGATGAATTGTGATAAAGGGAATTGGGGTTAATTTTAATGTTAAAATTATGTTAATGTTAAATGTTAATGTTAAATTTAAATATTAATGGGAAACTAAAAATTGGGAAAAACTAATTAGGACATTGATTGTCTATAAAGATGGAATGTTAACATAACTAGGATATGCATAAAGTAAAAATTATCGATAAATGTAAGAAAGTTATTTTTATTTAATCGATATAATAAGATTTGTATTAATTTAAATATGAGACAGTAAATACTAAGGGGAAAAGAGAGGAAATATTTAATGTAATAGTTTGAGATCTGTACTAAAGATACTTGTATGTTATTGTATTATCGATTAACTCATCTCATCTCAAGAAACAGTGTTGGAGATGTGGAAATTTAGATGCAACTTATTTTCATATTTGGTGGACTTGTAGGGAAGTTAAAGCATTTTGGATTAAGATATGGTGGAATATTCAAAATATTTTTAAGAAAAAGATAAAGTTTAAGCCGCAGATATTTTTGTTGGGTATTATGGAAGACTTGGATGCAAAAGAAATGGAATTGATGTTGAACTTTATAACTGCTGCAAGACTATTAGTAGCTCAATATTGGAAAATGGAACGTTTACCCACTATAGAAGAATGGTCACTTAAAGTCTCGAATTTAGCAGAAATGGCCAAGATTTCCGCTTATGTGAAGGATCACTCGCAAGAAAGATATATTTTGGTTTGGAGAAGATGGATAGATTATATTGAGCATAAATATGGGACTAAATAATATCATTTGGTTTTTGAGTGAATTTTAGAGTATTATTGTTGTATAAAGGTTAGAATATTTTATTTAGTGCTATTTTTAATTATTAAGGTGATGTTATTATTATTGTTTTTAATAATTGTATATTGGTTTAAAAGAGAGTTAAAGGAGGTTATAGATATGTTATTTTAATAGTTGATTAATGTTAATTAGAGTATGATTATGTTATTGTTAACCCTGTGATTGGCACTGGGAAGTGAGGGGGGAGGGAGGGTGGGTGGAAGGGTGGGTTGGGGAAAGGGGGGGATTTATATTGTAAAATTTTATAAAATTTTCAATAAAAAGAAAAAAGAAAAAGAAAGAAAGAAACAGGAGAGGAACAGGTTAGGTGTGTGTTTCCACCATCTTTCTAACAGTCCCGCCTTTGTTTCCCGTCTTCAGTTGTCTGTCGGGTTTAGGACCGCTACTCGTCTTTCGCTATTCGTGGATCTATTACTTAAGTGTGCGGCCAATAGCAAGCCGTACGTTTAAAAGCGAAACAAGGTTGAGCCGTTAATTAAGGTCCGAATTCTTTGTCTCGCTAAAGAACTCGCTGGTTTAATGTCCCTAGAAACTAAGTACTAGGGACCCATTGTGCAAAGCTGCACTTTTCGAGTCTCGGCGTCGTGGCCGACGGCCAACAGAAAAAACATACCTGGCTGCAATTCCCAGACTCTATATTGGAACAAATTGCAAACAAACTCCGCAAAGGTAGGAATCTCCTGTTTTTAGTCCCTAATCCTCTTTGTTGCTCTTCTCTGCACTCTTTCTAGAGTCTCAGCATCTTTTTTACATCGTGGTGACCAAAACTGGATGCAGTATTCCAAGTGTGGCCTTACCAAGGCCTTGTAAAGTGGTATTAATACTTCCCATGATCTTGATTCTCTCCCTCTGTTAATGCAGCCTAGCACTGTGTTGGCTTTTTTGGCAGCTGCAGCACACGGCTGACTCCTATTTAAGGGATTGTCCACTAGGACTCCAGTTGCTACTATTGAACCACATACCACCTATACCAGGGGTCTTCAAACTTGGCCCTTTTATGACTTGTGGACTTCAACTCCCAGAATTCCTCAGCCAGGCATGCTGGATGAGGAATTCTGGGAGTTGAAGTTCACAAGTCATAAAAGGGCCGAGTTTGAATACCCCCTCACCTATACTGTGCCTGTGCATTTGGTTTTTCTTGCCTAAGTGTAAAACCTGACATGAACCTTTACACCAGAGGTGGAGAACTATGGCCCCTTTATGACTTGGGGACTTCAACTCCCAGAATTCCTGAGCCAGCATTAACATGGCTGACTGAGGAATTCTGGGAGTTGAAGTCCACAAATCATAAAAGGGCCATAGTTCTCCACCCCTGCTTTACACCATGCCGTGCATCCAACTGGGCTTTCTTGTTTTTCTTTGAAGACATTTTGCTTCTCCTCCAAGAAGCTTCTTCAGCTCTGACTGGATGGTGGGGAATGGGAGGATTTATACTCCTTGCAAACAGCTGTTCATTTGCCTTCTTTTAGAGAGTCGTTGAGGCCACTTGGAGGTTTACCTGTGTCCTCAGGGTTACCTGAGTGGTGCAGATGGGTGTGGAGCCATCTTGGAACTGCTGAAAGGAACATGTTGTAGACTGGACAGAGATGATGTCCTATCCCTCCCCCTCTGTTGAGGGAGGGCTGTTCAGTTTGGACCTAGATGGCCTCTTTGACCCCTCTTTCAAACCAGCGGTCCTCCCTGTCCAAAATGTGGACTTTGCTGTCTTCGAAAGAGCGGCCTTCGTCTCTTAAATGCAGATGGATGCTGAATCTTGTCCTGATGGGTTTGTTCTGCTATGTTGTGCCACGCGTTTGTGAAGTTGTTGTTTTGTTTCCCTGATGTACAGATCTGCACACGGCTCACCGCATCGTATTGCATATACCACATTGCTCATTGTACTCATAGGCAGTACAATGCAGTGAGCCATGCGCAGATCTGTACATCGGGGACACAAAAAACAACTTCACAAACGCATGGCACAACACTGTGACCTGGATGAGGGAGAATCTCCATAGACCTGCATCCACACAGCTCACGAGAGCTTCTGAAAAGCGACTCTCCCAGATTCCTCCGGACTGTTTTGCTGGCAGCAAACAAGTTTGTCCTCTTAAAAACTTCTGCATTGAAATTCCGCACACACCAGCAGCAGAACACAGGAGCTCATTTTCATTCCAGGTGGTAATAATAATAATAATAATAATAATAATAATAAT